AAAATTGGAGGGGAAGGTTTTTTTTTTTACCAGAAAATAAAGGCACAGACTTCTGTAGAAGTTCTAATCCTTCCTCACGCTTTATTTTTGTTTATGTTGCCCTTGGACAGATTTCCCTTCAATTCTTGCCCTTATGGGAAGAGAGAAAACGCCCCTATAAGGAAACAAAGTAAGCTTTGGCTGAAGTTGGGATTTAGGATTGCAGTATAACCCACTGGCCGGCCATCACTGTTGACAAACTATTATTAGATGCAGTATAGGCTGGGTCCTGGAGAGAAATGTAACTAAAGGGCAAGAAAGGCGGGAGGCCCCGTTTTGCTATAGGGTGTTGAGATTTGTTGTTTCACCCCTGCCTAGTGTGGTATTGCAGTCTATAGCTTTGTGTAATAACCACTCTGTTCTATTAAACCAGGGGTCTCCAAACTTCTTAAACAAAGGGCCAGTTTACTGTCCTTCAGAATGTAGGGGGTCTGGACTGTGGCCAATAGGAGTAAAAAGGTTCTGACATCAATGGGAAGAATTGTGTCCCATTGTTGGAGTCATAGAGAGGAATTATGCCCCTTCATTGGTGTCATTGGGCTCCATCATTGGTGTCAGTTAGGAGAATTCGCATCTCATCATTGGTGTTGTTGGAATTGTGCCCCTTTATTGATGTCAGTGGGGGGAGTTAAGCCCCATTGTTGGGATCAGTGGATGAAATAGTGCCCCAAGGCTTGGATAAAAGCACGGAAAGGGCCACATCTGGCACCCCAGGCAGAAGTTTGCCGACCACTGGTATACAGCATAAAAAATAACACAGATACTACAATGCTTTGCCTAAAAACATTCTACATAATGCCTACTTTCAAACATTGATGGTAACATACCTATACATCCAGCACTGTGCCCATCTGCAGCTCTACTTTCCCCTCAGTTCTGAATCTCACAGGCTTTGCTGGGGCACCAGGAGCAATTCGCTCTCGCTGCTGTCAAAGCCAGTGATGAGTATGCGGACAGTAGGGCTCAACCTAAATTCTGAGAAACACAGGCAGATACCTATCCATCACGCCATACCATCAGGGAGGCATATGATTGGCCCCAAATTTATTCTGCAGCTGGATAACAACCCCAAACACACAGGCAATGTCATTAAAAAATATCTTCAGCGTAAAGAAGAACAAGAAATCCTGGAGGTGATGGTTTGGCCCCCACAGAGCCCTGATCTCAACATCATCAAGTCTGTTTGGGATTACATCAACAGACAGAAGGATTTAGGGCAGCCTACATCCAACAAATGATATGTGGCTAGTTCTCCAAGATGTTTGGAACAACCTACCTGCCATGTTCAGTGAAAAACTGTGTGCAAGTATTCCAAGAAGAAATTACACTGTTTGAAGGCAAAAGATGGTCACCCCAAATATTGATTTGAATTTCTCCTCTGTTTATTTACTTTCCATTTTGTTATTTGATAAAAAATAAACTATTAACTTCTATTTTTGAAAGCATTTTTAATTTATAATTTATTTGTTCACATCTGCCTTTTGCACATTAGTGTACATTACTATAACAATTGTGTGTAAAATTAAAACTATGCAGTTTTAAGACCCTAAGCTAACTTTTGAGAACACTGCTCAGAGATAAATGATGTATGATCAGGGAATCAGCTGATACTGCATGCCTGTATGCAAGCACTTACCTGCTGAGCACCCTGCAGATCCTGCTGAAGCTTCTGGTTTCTCATTGTCAAGGCTTTCAACTCTTCCTCTTTCCTCTGCTGAATCTCCTCAATTTTTGTCCTTGTTTGAAAGCAGGAAAAAGTCAGCAGGCAAGCACAGTAGGATGTCCTCTGATCCAAGGACACAAGTAATTCACTTCTCACCTGCTGTCATTGTACAGAGCCTCCTTATCAGTCTGCAGCCTCAGATAGCTGTAAGGGAAAAAGGATACAGCATTTAACATAAATAAAAAGGAACCTGCAGTGAGTGGAGAGCTTTTGCATACACAGCAACAGCAGGACAAGACTTACAGAGAACACTAACATCATAGAAGTCTTTTTGTTGACAATTGGAGGTTTGTCAAGGCATCCTTTAACCACTTGCCCTCCAGAGGATTTACCCCCATTCCTGACCAGGCCATTTTTTGCGATACGGCGCTGCATTATTTTAACTGACAATTGCGCAGTCATGCAACACTGTATATAAATGAAATTTATGTCATTTTTTTCCCAACAAATACAGCTTTATTTCGGTGGTATTTGATCACCTCTGTGGTTTTTATTTTTTTACGCTATAAACAAAAAAAACTGGCAATTTTGAAAAAAAAAACAATATTTTTTACTTTTTTGCTATAAAACATATCCAATTAAAAACATTTTTTAAAAAACTAATTTCTTCACAAATTTAGGTCAAAATGTATTCTGCTACACGTCTTTGCTAAAACAAAATCCCAATAAGTGTACATTAATTGGTTTACATGAACATTATAGCGTCTACAAATGGCGGTATACAGGAATTAAAAAATTTTTTTATACTAGTAATGGCAGCGATCAGCGACTTATAACTGGCCTGCGGCAGGCATTCTGACACTGGGTGGGAACTCACTAACTGCCACTGACATCCCCAGAGACACTAATACAGTGATCAGTGCTAATAAAAAGCACTGACACTGTACTAATGACACTGGGCAGGAAGGGGTTAACATCTGGGCAATCAAAGGGTTAACTGTGTGTTTCACATTGTGTGCTGTGTTGTGTTTTACTAGGGAGACATGCTGCTTTGTATCCCTTTGCTGTGCAGAGAAATACAAAGTAGCATGTCCATGCTGACAGGAGAGAGATCGGTGTTGCTTACACACAGATCTCTCCCCTCTCAGCCCTACTGACGATCATCATGTCCCGGCCAGGAATCGCCGGCCGGGACACAGTGATTGACAACCCCATCAGCCAATGGCAATGTGGTCCTCCTACCTGGAAATTAAAATCAAGTACATATATATATATATACACACACACACACACATATATATGTACACATATATATACAAACCTACACACACACGCGTGATTTTGCGCAGCCCTGCCACCCTGTAGCAGTACTTCTGCTATAGAATGGAGAGCAAGTTGTCAAGGTTACTTTACGGTTATCCTCTTTCATAGGAATTGCAGCAAGGGCTTTGTAAAGGAAGCTTGCACTGAGAAAAACAAATAGAGGCTGGCAACTTCCATCTAAAAATCTACATACACTGCTGCGAAATGGCATTTGCCCCTTTCCTGATTTTTTTATTTTTTTTCACAAATTTATCACACTTACATTGATTCATATCATTAAACATTTTTAATATTACACAAAGATAACCCAAGTAAATACAAAATGCAGTTTTTTAAAATGATGATTTAGTTTTTAAGGGAAAAAAAAGCTGTCCAAACCTACCTCGCCCTATGTGAAAAAAGTGGATTTTTTCTGAATACTTACCTGTAAAATCCATTTTTTTTAGTACATCACAGCACACAGAGCAGGCCATGTTAATGACTGTGTTGGTTATATGCCACGTATAGGTGAATGGACACTGGTCAAGTGATCAAACAGGAAGAGCTCCACCACATAACCCCTCCTACACAGGAAGTACTCAGTTTTTGTAGCAAGCAATAAAAATCCATAAAGAGGGGATGGACTTCTGTGTTCCTTGATGTACTCCAAGAAATGGATTTTACAGGTAAGTATGTAGAAAAAAATCCAATTTTCTTTATCGTACATCAAGGGACACAGAGCAGGCCATAATACTGATTATGTGGGACGTCCCAAAGCAATAACCTTGAGGGGTAGGTGACATCACAATAACTACCGCCAACATCATAAAAAGGAGCCAATCAGCTGTACGCAAAACACTACGGCCAAAGGCAGAATCCTCTGTCATCCACCTGGTAAAACCTTGTGGATTTATGAACCGAACACCATGTAGCAGCCTTACAAACATGAACAACTGATGCCTGGTGGTAGATAGCCCAAGATGCCCCCACACTCCTGGTAGAGTGTGTTTTCACCTGAAAGGGTGGAACCTTGCTCTTCAAACCATAAGCTTGAATGATTAACTGACGAATCCACTCAGAAATAGTTGGCTTGGATGCTGCCTGTCCTCTCCTAGGTCCTTCTGGCAAAACAAACAAGGAATCAGCCTTTCTAATCTGTGCTATCATTCTCAAAGACCCTTATTGCCTGAACCACATCCAGGGCACACAAAGATTTTTTTTTTGCCAACTGAGGCCTAGGAAAGCATGAAGGCAGAACAAATGTCCTCATTGAGATGAAAACTAGAAACCAACTTTGGCAAAAAGGCCCGTGGAGGCCGCAACGCCACCTTATCCTGATGTTAAACCAAAGATAGTTCCCTACAAGAAAGGGCTACCAACCCCGATGCCCTTCTTGCAGAGGTGATTGCCACCAAAAACAGAACTTTTCGAGTTAGCAGAACAGAATCTCCCTGATAGATTCAAATGGTGGTTTCTGTAAAATTGCCAACACCAAATTCAAGTCCCAAGGACACAGGGGCTGACTGACAGGAGGAACAGTACACATCACTCCCTGTAAAAAAATATAAAGCAAAGACTGAGAAGCAATCGGTCTTTGGAAAAAACAGCCAAAGCTGAAACCTGACCCTTAACCTCGCTGGCGGTCTGATTATGTCAATATTTTTGAATGTCAAAGCAGTATATTGTTTTGCATGGAAATTTGTTGTTTTATATTGTAGGCCTGTAATTCTTAGAAATAACTCACTTAAATCTGTCCAAACAAGAGTCTAGTAAACATCCTGGGTATGATAAAATTTGAAACACAAAATTATAAATTATAATATGATAAATAATTATAAAAAAAATAATAAATTAATTAAAAAATGTATTCAAACCAAAAACACTGAAATTTGAAATAGAGCGCCAAATTCGCACATCACTGAGCTCAGTCGCAGAATCGTCGCTGTCGTCACTTTCAGTGTCTGATGACGAATTTCCCCACGAATCACTATCACTCAATTCTGCAAGTGATTCTAATTTACTATCGCTGTTCTCTAGCTGGCCTAAAACCACTTTTGACCTAAAGGGACGCTTTTTGGATGCCATGGACATTCTCACGTTTCCAGGCAGAAAGAACAGTAAAAATGCAGGCAGGGCACAGGACAAAGCACTAGGGACAAAACTGAGGTTAAATGGTTTGATACATTAATGTAATCCTAACATAGTACAATGTATTGTGTGTATGTCTTGTTTTTACTTTTTTTAATCTCCTACCGGTTCTGCCCCCCTGCGTCGCCACACTCGCAGGGAAGGGAACCCCTTAGACCAGGCATGTCCAAAGTCCGGCCCGCAGGCCATTTACGGCCCGGGGGTCGGTTTAATATGGCCCTCCAACAGCCCTCCCTGCTCTGTGTAATGTGGCCCTCCCACGGCCCTCCCTTCTATGGCAGACAGTCTTCTGCTTGAGAGCAGAGGGCAGTGCACATGCCTGACTGCAGCGCGTTCTCCCTGGTCTGTGTAAATGCGGCTGTCGCACGGCCCTCCCTTCTGTGGCAGACAGTCTTCTGCTTGAGAGCAGTGCGCATGCGTGACTGCGCCGCGCTGGGAGCGACAGAGGGCGGTGACGTCAGGGCCGGGCTTCCAGCGTGAAGTGTGTTTCTCTTCCCCTCCCGGCTGCCGAGCAGAGACTTCAGCTCCAGCTACCTTTTTCACCCTTCACATTAGTGCAGGTAAGTTTTTTTTTAATTTATTTTCAATACATTGTGAAAACTCAGCTGTCAGTTGATCTTAATGTTATGAAATGAAAAGTATGTCGTTTGCAATTAACTTGGCATAAAATAATTTATTTGCATTTAATTATAATGGTTCAAAGAATGTTCGGAAAAATGTTCGGCCCTCCACCATGTTCACTTCATCCAATCTGGCCCTCTTTGAAAAAAGTTTGGACACCCCTGCCTTAGACGGAAGCCGGCATCGACCGGAGGACATCGGGTGAACCGCAGGACAAGGTAAGTTACACTACAGTGTGGCTCGGGGTTACCGCTTTTGGTACTGAAAATTAACCCCGAGCCACACTCCGGATTACTGCCAGGGAGGTTAATAATACCAACAGCCAACTTCTTTTCTACTTCTGATTGGAAAAAAGACAAAATTCTCCCAATCAAATATTTTGGCGGGTGCCATTTTCAATCCTCACACCAGAAAAATATATACCTTCCAATTTCTATAATAAATGTACCTAGAAACCAGCTTCCTAGCATTCAACATTGTGTGGATAACCGAGCCTGACACTCCCCTACCTTTCAAGATTTGGGTCTCAACATCCATGCTGTCAAATTCAGCGACTGTAAAGCTGGGTGCAATATAGGTAGCTGAGACAGCAGATGTTACCGATCTGGCAGTGGCCATGGATTGCCCACTGCTAGCCTGACAATGTTCGTATACCAACACTTCCTGGACCAGGCTGGTGCCACTAATATCACCGGAATCACCTAATCTCAAATCCTGCGTAACAGCAGTGGGAGTAGCTAAATCAGGGGAAAGGCAACGATTAGGGAAATCGGATCCCACAGTATCACCAAAGCATCCACCCCTAAAGGAAGAGGGTCCCGCATCCTGGACACAAACCTGTCCACCTTGCTGTTGAACCTGGACATCAACAGATCTATGTCCAGACACCCCAACGCTGGCAGATTGCTGAGAACACTTTGGGATGCAGAGCCCATTCCCCCATAGCAACCGCCGATGACTGAGGTAGTCCGCCTACCAATTCTGTATCCCTTGATCTCTCAGGGCATGGCTCTTTCCTGGTGGCAGAAACACCTTTGCCTGGACAGTGTCTAGGTAGGTAGTACAGGCAGGTGCAAGCAAAACAAGTACTCCACCTGGTGGTCTTCCTGGACATCCATAGCAGACTTCTCCACATATACACATATATAATCACGTCGCAGGCCCCTGAAGTTTTAGTCAGGGACCAACCTTCACCCATCACGGCTGGCCTTGTCCTAAAGACCTTTAATGACTCAGCCCCCTTTTTAAATGGGGGCCATTGCCTTGGATCCATATAGCACTCTGCTGGAATCGCCTTGGTCAAACCAAACTGCACAAGGTTCCAAAAATGCAGGGTCCATCACCATAAAGCTGTATTACAGGCAAAACCCAGAGGATTCTTCTCCTTACCCAGCGGGGCTCAGGTATCATCCAATTTTGCTAATAGTTTTTCAAATGGATCCGATTGAGGCCCTTGACTCAGTAGAATCGTTCCAGACCTCCCAGTATGCTCACAGAGCACATGCAGCACGTTCAGTGACCATCCACCTTACAGACATTGGAGAAAAAACTGAGTACTTCCTGTGTACGAGGAGAAGGTTCACCTTTGTTCCAAGTTTTCTCCATTTGTGGATAATGGCTCTCACCATGGTTCACCGGAGTCCCAAAGCCTTAGAAATGGCTTTGTAATCCTTTCCAGACCGATACATGTCAATTACTTTGTTTCTCACCTGTTCTTGAAGCTCTTTAGATTGCGGTGTTGCTTTTTTAAATCTTTTAGCACACTTCACTTTATCAGACAACTTCTATTTAAGTGATTTCTTAATTCAACAGGTCTGGCAGTAATCAGGTTTGGATGTGGCAAGTGAAGTTTTACGCAGCTTTCCAAAAATGTGCTTAATCACCGTTTACCTTCCCACAAAAAATAGTAAATGCACATTTTTTTTGCAGGCAAAAAAAATGTGCATTTATTATTTTTTGTGTCAGGGGCCTATAAAGCATTGCGCCAGCGATCAGTAGATCGCTGATGCCACGCAGGTCTTCTGCACAACGTCAGTGTATTTGCTTACTTGTACATCCTGTACGACCAAGCTGATACTTGCTGACAGGATGACTCAATGAACTACCACAGTGCTCACAGTGCCGTGGTAGTTCATTGAGGACTACAAGCTGACAGCCGCTAAGCCTGTCTGGATTTGTAGTCCATTCATTCACAGAACACTGTGAATGAATTACACGGCCGTATGGACAAAGTCATGCTGTGTTTGAAAACTGACAGCTAGTATGAGGAACGTCTCCCTGTACTTCTGTCACACGGAGGAGGTGGAGCAGCGGGTGGTGGCTGCAGGATCGGGGATATGTTACATGTTCCATCCTAAAAGCAGGGTGGAACATGTAACATGTTCCCAAAGGTGAACTTGTAACATGTTCCCAAAGGTGAACTTGTAACATGTTCCCAAAGGTGAACTTATCCTTTAAGTGTGACGATATGCAAAAAATTAGGAAGGGGGGCGAATATTTTTTCATAGCACTGTGCATATTCCAAAGTCAGTGACCTGAGCAATGTTGAAGCCAACAGATCAGTATGACAAGCAGGCAACTAGAATTTTTGGAAAGACAGGTCAGCAATTTTGTTTGTGCAGGTTTTTGTGCATAAAAAATACGTAATCAGTAATGGCTATAAGGAGATTTGATTTTGGAGAGTGCATGCGCAAGATGTCATTGTTGGCTAATATGCATATGGGATACATTGGTTTACTATACCAAATCAAAACACTATATTAGCACCTCAGAAGTGACCTGCTCCCTAGTTCAGTACTCTCTCACCTGTCATATTTCTTCTTCAGTTTCTCTGATATCTGTTGGAAGAAGAACAGAATTAGAATTGTCAAATCTGACAGAAAGGATACAGACAAGAAGGGTAATAAAACCTACGAGATTATTTTGCTAAAAAAGTAGTAAGAAAATCTGTGTCAATGACATGCAGAGAAAGAAATACCTTTAACTTTTATACCCCCAAACCCCAGTAGCACAAACCCACCTTTCCTCTGTCCCCAGTTGCTCAACAAAGAAAATACCAAGTGCTTCTGGGTATAGAGGTTCACTCACGTTTTCACACATGACAGCACTGGTGTTTGGTGGTTCACCCAGCACTATGCATAGGGCAGTGAGAAAGTTTTCAGCCCTGCGTAAGCTCAGACCAGAGCAACTCAGAGCTCACACATGGTCTCAAATCAATTAAGAGAAACGGATGCGTCACCTTGTATGGGCAAAGCAGATGTTTGTTTTAAAAGTTTGTCGATTTCCGTTACCTTTGCATTCTCCTCTTGTACCCGGGAGAGGTCTCCCTGTGCAATAAACAAATATAGTGTGAAACATACAAGGAAAGTCAACAGGCACAATTAAATTACTAAGGTACACCATACTAGATGACATGGGGCCGTAACCTTATTATATTTTTAAAACCTTTGCTTTAGCAGAGGATCCTTTCCTTTAGGCAGTCTACAGCTTTGAAGTTCATTATGAATTCTTGGCACAAAAACGTTAATATATTCCTCAACAGCCAAAAGGGATATAAATCACATTTTTGTGCACCAAATGACTTTGCAAACCTCGTAAAAGTATTGGTGATATTATCACTGTGATGCACATATCTTGTGCAGAGAGCAGAATTGTCGGAGGGACCTAGCAGATCTACCCACTATAAGCTGTCTGCAGAAAACTACAGGGAAGGGAGGTAGATACAAGACTGTTGTCCTGCACAAGGAAAAAGAGAAGCAGTGGCTGGTCTTTATTACAGGAAACTCCTGCACAGGGGAAAAGTTTCACACTGGATTACTGCACTGATCTGGAAAAAATACACAAAGCACACCAAGGTTCAAATTGTAATATACACTGACCGACCTCTACTAGGTACACCTGTTCAATTGCACAAATTGCTAATCAGCCAATCACAAGGCAGCAACTCAATGCATTTAGACATCTAGACGTGGTGAAGACAACTTACTGAAGTTCAAACCGAGCATCAGAATGGGGAAGAAAGGGGATTTAAGTGACTTTGAACGTGGCATGGTTGTTGGTGCCAGATGGGCTGGTCTGAGTATTTAAAAAACTACTGATCTACTGGGATTTTCATGCACAACCATCTCTAGGGTTTACAGAGAACGGTCCTAAAAAGAGGAAATATCCAGTGAGCGGCAGTTGTGTGCACAAAAATGCCTCGTTGATGTCAGAGGAGAATGGGCAGACTGGTTGCTGCGACATTCAGATGGTAGGCTCATTATTTGAAAGCATGGATCCATCTTGCCTGGTATCAATAGGCTGGTGGTTTAATGGTGTGGGGGATACTGTCTAGGCACTAGAAAGGTGTACCTAATAAAGTGACCAGTGAGTGTACATGCCTTTTTGTGACTTCAGTAAAAATGAATTGGTGGTTTTTCCAGACTTTTAAAGTGACAGCAGGACATAGCACTAAGAAAGTTTGTACTTCAAGACAAATCCACTCCCTCATCATATCACGACTCGACTACTGCAACCCCTCCTCACTGGCCTGCCTCGCCGCTGGCTATCCCCGCTTCAGTTGATCCTGAATACGGCTGCCA